CGGATCACGTCTTTATCAGTAGACGATCGTTTGGCAGATACAATGGCCCCATGGCAGGATGCGGTGTGGATGCACCGCGAGATGATGGAGCAGGCGCAGGCGGATCGGGGCAGAGGGAAGGCGGTTGCAGAAGACTAACACGATATTTTCGACGAGTGGACGACATTGGACCCTCACACGGACCTCGACTCGTACGTTGATGGCAGTTTCCAAGCAGTGAGGACCCTCTGGAGCAGGGTGGGAGGCCACGTCGATGTCGAGGGCCTATTGGCAATAGACGATGCGGAGCGGGCAGACGAGGACATCGAGCGCCACCACGATGACATCCCTGCCTCGACCTTACAGCCACTGGTGGCGGAGATAGGGTCATCAGGCGCCACAACATCACAATGCGGCAATCAGCCCTCGTCCTCCCGTATTGCAGGGCCGACCGCCGCCGACTCCGGAGGTCTGGAGCCACATGATTCTGCCACGTTAGGTTCCCCTGCTTGCGCCGTGGACGTGCGTAGGACTGACGGATCTTCACAAGGTGCAGTACACGTGCTGCGGTGCACAGGGCAGGGCAGAGGCATAATGATAGCATGGACGAGAGGGCAGATCAGGCAGTGGAGCACAGGGCACAACACAGGGAGGGGGTGCAGCAGGTGGGAGAGCAGTTCTCAGAGCGTCCGGGGGTCAGACAGAGTGTCGTGCAGACGGTGGATTGGAGGGCGGACGTGGTTGCAAAGGAATTGATGGGGCACAGGGCTGATCAGAGGGTGGGTGACAACACAGACCGTATGGCGGTGCAGACTGCAGTGCAGCGGGTGGGGGGAGGTTTGGCCGCGACAGTGGAACAGAGGGCGGTCCAAAGGGTACATCCATGTGCTCCCCTTGCTGCAGATCATAGGGTGGGGCAGAGGGTGGAGCAGAGGGTGGGGCAGAGGGTGGAAGTTAGAGTGGATGTGAGTGTGGAGCAGCAAGCGGACGAGGGGCGATCAGACATTGTACGCGAGAGAGTGAGTGACAGGATTGACGAGAGTGTCGTTCGAGATGAGGGCGTTGTGATGGCGGAGGACAGGACGGAGGACAGGAGGGAGGAGACGGGTAGGGTTCCCCCGCAGGAGAGCCGTGCTCGAGACATCACACTCACTAGGGGTTCATTCTACGGGATTCCTTCGCTGCCCCCACGTGCCGCACAATCCTCGCAGGGGGTGGATCTTGGTGTACATTGCATGTCGCCAGCACATCGCGTGGCAGCTCAGGAGCGAGCATCTGGTGGAGGTGGGGGAGCTCTCGACAGCGTCTCCGGTAAGGCGATGCAGGGCGGGGGACGCAACTTGTTAATGGCAAGTCACGCACCCTTGACCAGTGTAGCAGGCATACCGCCATTGCCATCACCTACAGACATCCTTTCACCCCGCACTTCCATGCCCATTGAGCGCCCTACTCTACCCACGTCACTACGACCATCATCATCTAGGACTGCTACCATGCTGGGCATGCCCCCGCTTCCGGCACGACAGTCTTCGGCTATCCGCGATAATGTGAAGACGAGCCGTGCTGGCAGGAAGAAGAGACAAAGGGAGGATGATGTAGGCGGGGAGCCACCTCCTACACGTCGAGGTCGTGGCCGGCCTCGTGGCTCAGGCAAAGGCCGAGGCAAGCAACACCAGTCATGGGCACTGAGTGCACTAGGCCACGACAGGTTAGAGACTGGCGATGTTGCGGAGGGGATCACTGCAGGAGTTGGTGTTCTTGCAGGTGTCGGTACAAGATCTCGAGCAGGCAGTAGAGAGATACAGAAAACCTCTACTCGTGTGCTGGACGATGATCCTGATGAGAATGATGATCGCAACACCTCAGATGAGATGTCCGGCAGCGACTATGAGGAGGAGACACGTATGAGGGGTGAGGATGAGGCAGGAGATGACGACAACTTCGATGGCACCGGCGACATGGCGGACTAGTGGGATGTACTGTGGTAGTGCCCGTCCATCTGCGTCCATTCGTCTTTGGGGGGTGGGGGGCGGTGGAGTATGGGGGACGTGTTCGGAGTCAGGTGGTTGCAAAGTGCGTTTGTGTGAGTGGCTGTGGATCGGCGGTTGCTGCCATGGCAGCAGAGAGAGAGAGAGAGAGAGAGAGAGAGAGAGATTCAGTTCATTGTTGATGTTCACAGTTGAACTATATATGCTGCACTGGTCGTGCTTCTCTCTCATTTGTTTGTCGTGCTTGAAATCGCAACAGCAATGTGCAACCGTGTTCAGCAAATGCGAATGTCGTTGTGTGTGGGTGTTTGTGTGTGTCTGTGTGTGTTTCTGCGTGTGTTTCTGTGTGTATGCCAGTGAGTCGGTTACTCGGTCAGTCGGCCATTTGCGGTGTGTGTCTGTGTGTGTTTCTGCGTGTGTTTCTGTGTGTATGCCAGTGAGTCAGTTACTCGGTCAGTCGGTATGTAAGTCAGTCAGTCTGTCGCTTGGTCTTCATTCAGGCAATCAATTCAAATGGTCTGTATGAGGTGTGTGTGTGTGTGTATGTGGGTGGAATGCAGTGGGTGTAGTACTTGTACCAGCTGCAGCACCTGCTGCGGCGGATGTTGCTGTGAGTGCACCTGCTGCGACGGATGTCGCTGCCACCGCACTTGCTGCGGCGGATGTCGCTGCCACTGCACCTGCTGCATCTGCTGCAGTGGATGGTATACAAGCAGCAATTGCTGCACGTACCGCAACCGCTGCATCAGCGGCAGTCGCTGCGCCGTGCTCAAGTTGTCGACTGCAGCAGCGGCCTCTCCATTGGAACCCCCCAACCACCCAATTCCACCTCCCCACACACCCCAAACTTCCCAAAGTCTCATGTCCGGGACCAAGTTCGAAGTACACATTCATCACATAGCACCATGCCGTTCAATTGCAAAGAGAAATGAATGAACTTGAGAGAGATGAGAGGGTAAGAAGAAGAAGAAGTAAGAAAGAAAGAAGAAGATGATGTACACCAGCATTGACAAATGACAAAGCTCTTCTTCTTCACCAAACTCTCTCCTCCTCCTTATCTCCCCCTTCTCAATTCAAACAACAAACAATAATAACAATGTTGAATGGCTGATCCACAATCAATGTCGAAGTCCTCTCTTCKACTGCTGGTGTCACATRAGGTCCTCCATAGCCATGGTCGGCTCTCMTTCCYCTTCACTYGCATAGGCCGAGGCTATGGCGGACTACTATGCCCAACCGTGATGTCCAAAGGACAACACAAAGCAGCTATGGCTGCTACAGCTCAGGCCGCCATGACCACTTACCGTACTGCGGCCCTCTTCCCGCCCACTCGAGTGTTTTTCCCTGCTGCAACCCTCGATGTCACGGCCACAGGTAAGTACCGGCCCTAAGGGCTCAATGGACGAACAAGTGCCCTTATGAGTCACACACACTCAAGCACACAAGCACTCAGACAGACATGCAGACCAGCAAACACGCACACACACAGACTTAGCAAGGAAACCCAGTAAGGCATTCATTCCACGAGCAAAACTCAGAAATCAGCTGTGTGTCTCAGTCCGTCTTTTGGTGGGTCATCACAAAAGCCTGTTTCTATTTTGTTTTCTGTTTTTGCTCAGAATAGCCCCAAAAATATTTTGGGGGCTCCCCTGGCAGTGCGCAGACCCCCCCCACTTTTTTTTTTTTTTTTTTTTTTTTCAATGGCAAAAAACCTGTTGTCCRATTTTTCGGACAACTCCCCCTCGACCGTCTCCCGGAGACGTCCGGGGGAGACGTCTCCCAATCGGACAGCTGGTAACGTAGCATAACATATATATATTTTTTGGATTTTTTTGAAAACTTTTTTTTTTTTATAAATATTTTTTATGTTCGAGTTCGGAGGGTTTAGGGTGCTTGTTCACGTTTGGGTGAACATGTTCGCTTTCGCCTCCGAACGCCAACATGGTGCTACGCAAGCTGTAACCTGACCTACGAACTCGTTAAACCTGGTTCAGTACACAAGATTTTCATTTAATCACCATCAACCAATAATTTAGCAAGAATATAAGCTACTTTTCTCAAGGTTCTTCCCCTTTGACCCATCCAACCGATTGGAGAAACACGAAATCTGATGCTTAGAGCCGCTTGACGGCTCACCAAGTGACTGTTTCCGTTTGCCCTTCACGTGAGAATGAACGAACGAGGGAGGACTGTGACAACCCTCTTCTCTACTAGGCCTCGTCGAGAGTCCAGCGTTTTACAATTAACTAATCATTGGCAGAACTCACTTATGGCTCCTCTTGTGTTTCCCTTCTTCTGTTACTCGCCTACCACATGCAGCCCGTTCTCGAAACTCACACAGGAGACTTACCCGAGGGTAAGTACCACTTGTCACAGTACTGACCAAGTAGTATGCCAGACCCGAACTTTCCACAACTCACAGCTGTAACAGTAGGCCCTACTCCATTTCGGCTAAGAGTGAGTTCATTCAACAAAGCTTCATTTAGTATCCCGTCAGTTCCCTTTTTCCATAGCATCTTCAAAGAATGGACTTAATCATGGGGAAGGGTATGGAGAAAAAGAGTCGATACCTTATCTCTTGCCTTGATCTTTGCCCACTAGTCACAGGCGATATTGACAGCCTTTTCGATCTCAACCAATGGGTTTTTCTCCTTCCACTCATAGGTAAGTTTACTCAGAGTCGTCGATGTTCATCAGCCCAGCTCGCACAAGATCCTCTAGTAAAATCGGTCGCCACAGTCTATGTGACTTCTCCTTAGTAGCCAGATTCGGGATGGTTGTGAGAGTTTGACCAGGGTAAAGCATGCCGTTTACTAACAACCCAGCAATGTTAGTGTTTAAGTTACTTGTTTTCCCCACTCACCTTGGTCGAGAACTTCTTCTCATGCATGATCTATTCATGACCGAGTCATCACACAGAGCGTGATCAATTAAAAAGACAAATATTATGTATAACTTGCACCGTTGATAGCGTCATCGTTATTAGCTCACGCCTTTCGTACGTGATTTAAGAAAACTTGTCCATGCGTTGGACCTCATACTGCACTAATACTGTCGACTCACCAAAAGAACTCGATTAAAACTCTACCCAGATCTGATAAGCGCTGTGTCTTCCCCTAGAGCGTTCACCACATACCCTTCATCCCTGCATTATAGCCAACCATGGCACCCTTCACGCGCAGCTCAAGACAGTACATTAAAAAAATCAGAGGCGACACAATTTCTATCGCCTAAGGAAGTCGTCCATTTTAACGTTCCCTCTCACATTTCTCACCCATATATCATCTCTGTACGCACATCACTCATACGCCATCACCTCTATACCGCCTAGTCACTGCCTCACAGAGAGAATACCTCACGTATCTGGATGAGGGTCGCGGCGGCTGCTAGCTGGAATCTACTGCTAATAATAGCATCCTCGACATCATGTATGCTCTTCTCTCAAAGAAATCTGGCTAAAAACTCAGACTAACGAGGAGGGCGCGCTGCCTCTAGCGGATTGACCTGCGGTAGCAATGCCATAGGATGACGTCAACTGATATATTTCCTTGCTCTGGACCCCGATGGGCCATCATCCTCTCTTCTTTGAGTTGTTCCCTGTGCTCCGGAGACCCGAAAAGAACAAGACCGAGCTACGTCATACATGGCACTAGCTGCAAGGGAAACCTCACCCACCCTCTTTTTCTAAGCTATGACTGCACACTCCCCTCGAACATGTTGGCGTCGTTGGATAGCCCTTAACCACTCGATGCCTCACGTACTCAGCGGTTAGCTCGTTGTCACACTGATCCCACTCAGTTCGCAAGAAGCTTGTGTTTAAGTCCCTTTCTCGTCTCGTTTACTTCGAGAGAATTATCACCATAGCCATGAACCCAGAAAGGCATACGCGCTTTCCAGCTTCCGAAAGGACGAAAAAGAGGAAAACAGCTTCTTCCCTGGGAGTGCAGCGAAAACCAATCCCAGGTAAGTGATGATTGGTCAGTCTGTTTCGCAACCTCTTTGCCTCTTCCTCATAGCTGTTGTGAGCATGACTTTCTCACAATCGTGTCCGCCTATTCCTCCCTTTCTCGTGATAGATGGCCCACTGTCTCACTGATCACGCCTGAAGTGCACAGTACGAGAACCCCGATTCCATCCGTGTCCGCTTATTCAAGAAAGCAACATCGTTAGGCAGGAGTCCAAAAAGGCAAGCGCACACATTCTCTCTAGCCTAGAGACCAAGCACACGGCGAAACCCCCCCACCCCAGGCTTATCACGATAATTAGACGAAACTGATAGCGTTGCAACCTGCAAAGACTGGCGAGATGGGTCCCTCAAACAGAGGGTGACCCCAACCACGTAATCAGAACGAGATGTGTATAGACTTTTAGGGGTCTGAACGCAATCACCGTGAAGAATGTTGAGCCACTGCCCAGGATAGACGATCTCTTAGATCGGGTGCAGGGGTGCAGATATTTCTCGAAGAAAGATTTGAAGTCCGAATATCATCAGATAGAGGTCCACCCTGATGATCAGTACAAGACAGCTTTCCGGACTAGATACGGGCATTATGAGTTTATAGTGACGCCCTTTGGACTAACCAATGCGCCATCGACTTTTCAGCGTTGTATGAACGACTTGTTCATGCCGTGGTTAGATAGGTTTGTAGCAGTTTACCTTTACGATATTCTAATATTTAGTAAGACCCTCTAAGAGCATCAGGGTCATCTGAGGCAGGTCTTGGAGAAGCTAAGAGAAGCTAACTTCAAGATCAATGTGAAGAAGTGTGAGTGGGCGAAGACCCAAGTATTGTATCTAGGCCATGTCTTAGACGGAGACGGCATCAGACCCGAAGACAGCAAGATCGCAGCGATTAGAGATTGGCCTACACCCCGCACGTTGACAGAATTGCGGTCGTTCCTAGGCCTAGCAACTACTAAAGGAAGTTCATGAGAAACTTCTCCACCATCGCTGCGCCCCTTCACAGGTTGCTGAAGAAAGAAGTGATCAGGACGTGGGATAAGGACTGCACGTCTGC